GCTGTAATTGTTGTTTGGCGGGTCCGGGCTGGGGATTCGAACCCGCCACCTTAGGTGTACGTGGCTGGCGCCTTAGCTGGTTGAGCTATAGGCGCCGAGCCAGATGACCTGTTTTGATTCAAAGGACCCCCAAGTTCTCTTTCGGCTCCTGCTGATTCTGCCAAACCACAGCACTTTCTGTAGACAGCTAAACACTGATGCGGAATCCAACAGGAAGTGGCATGGGGGTGCATGAGGCAGGCTGTCTTCCTGTCACTCAGTTATTTACAAAAGGGCAGATTTTCTCTCTAATACTTAAAACATTCCCCACAGGACTACCTGTGCTCCTTTATATATAGGTAATAAACTAATAAAATGAATCATTTCTTGTCTCTCTCAAAGCTGTATAATAATTTGTTCAAAAGCTGAAAGAGTTGTAGAAATAGGGGCCAGGCCGGGCATGGCCTGTAATCCTAGCACTCTGGGAGGCCAAGGTGGGTGGACTGCTGGAGCTCTGAGGTTAAAAATAGGAAAACTAGCCAGGCATTATGGTAGGCACCTATAGTCAGGAGGCTGAGGCAAGAGGATCACTTGAGCCCAAGAGTTTGAGGTTGTTGTGAGCTATGTCACCATGGCATTCTACCCAAAGCAACAGACTGAGACTCACTCTCTCTCAAAAAAAAAAAAAAAGTTGTAAAAATAAGAGTCCATACTAAACCCATATGGCAAAAGAATTAAAAGGAGTTGTTTCCTATCACAGAACTGAGAATAGTTTCAGAGTCAAAGATTTTAGACTCAAAGTGACCCCAAGGGCTAAGCTCCCTTTAGCTAATAAATAAGGCTTTCTTTCAACACTGGAAAGAAAAATGATCACTTTCTCCTTATTTGCCCAGAGAAATTCACTGCCAAAAAAATGGATTAGGATCACTATCAGATGTGCCACGAAGTTGAGAACATTGTGACCCCAGTAGAGGCACAAAGCACTGTGTAGACATTTTATATACCCCAGCAGCCAGATGTTCTCAATGTCTTTAGCAGCATATGCCAAGTGGATAGGTTCATAAAACCAGGAAGATTCACCAGGATCCATACCTCCCTAAGCCCTAAAGCACAGTTCCTCTGGGTGTAGCCACCTTATCTTTTCAAGTGACTTGTTAATCGAATTCAAATTCTTCAGTTCACAACACCATTTTATGTAAAGCTGACTTAAAAAAACAACAATACAACCTTGGACTTAACCAAACATTCCATGTTGCATCTCACTAACCTTGGTCTTCCTAGGCTGACAAAGGTAGATTAAATACCTTGGATGTTGATCCAAAATATCTTGAACTTGAGTTAAAGATACCTTATATTGGCCAGGTGTGGTGGTTTACACCTATAAATCCTAGAACTTAGGGAGGCCAAGGTGGGAGGATCCCTTGAGCTAAGAAGTTCAGGACCACCCTGAGCAAAATCAAGACCCTGTCTCTGCTAAAAATACAAAACATCAGCTGGCATGGTTGTGGGCACCTGGAGTCCCAGCTATTTGGGAGACTGAGGCAGGACGGTCACTTGAACCTTGGAATTTGAGGTTGCTGTGAGCTAGGCTGAGGCCATTGCACTCTAGCCCAGGTGACACAGAGAGACTGTCTCAAAAAAACAAAAACACCTTATATACACCCACCCAACAAATTGATTTAATTCACCAGAATTTACCAGATTTTTTTCATACTTGGCTATGAAATACTCTAATTGTTGTATGTAAAAAAGG